ACCGGGCACGCTAAAATTCGAGGTTTTTTTCGACTTGGCGTTTGTATGCTCGTTGGAATTTCGAAGAAGAGCCCGACACCGATTCCTGGCTTTAGCAACGTTTATCGCTGGTTGGAATAATTTTTCTCTATACGCTTGACTAGAATGTCGCACTATGCGCCATCGTTGTTGTTGAACCGAGGGACTCGTTACATGCGTGGATCCGGCGTCGATATTCTGTCAGTTTACCTTTTCGGAAGTCGCTCGCAGTGCATGGTGACCCTCGGCAACGCCGTCGCGGGGGCCGTCGGGATCGCCGGCGGCTTTGCGCTCGCGCTCGGCGGATGGTCGTCCATGTCCCTCGGGGCGCGGTCGCTCTTCATCTCGGTGCAGCTCCTCTCCTGCTTTGCCATGTACGTGTACCTCGCCATGCGCATGCAGCTCATGCACTACTCGATGATCCTAGGGGCTTTGTCACGACCTACACGTGCATGGACAACCTCGGCGGCCAAGGCGATGCGACCAAGATTGGGATCGCGGCCGGCGTTGGCGGTGCGCTGGCGATCCTCGTGACGCTCGCTACGTCAGTGGGCCCGCTCTTCCTCATCGCGCTTACGGGTGCGATCATTGCGCCGTGGCTGCTCATCCTCGACAGCGGCGCCGGGAACGTCTTTACGTCGCAGCCGTCGTTCGCGCTCCAGGAGTTCGAAATCGCGTTCATCATCGTCTTTTTCCTCCTCTTCGTGTCCCACTCGAAGAACCCGGAGATGGAGAACCACCGGTTCAAGTACCTTCTCATGAGCAGCCTCCTCGGGGGCTGGCTCTTCTCGGACGCGCTCTTCCGCCTCGCATTTCCCAACCAAACGCCGCTCTCGAACCTGCTCTTTGGTGTCCTCGGCCTTGGCGGGCAGCCGCTCTTTGGGTCGCTCTCGAGCGACAACAAGACGATCATGCTCGTCATCTGGGGCGGCGTCGCGCTTGTCGGCATGGTCAACCAGCTCAGCATGCGCTGGGGCCTCTTTTGCTACAACAAGGCCGGTGCGCACCTCCCGATGAACGGCGTACTCCAAGAAGACCTCCCCGAGCTTCCTCCGTACGTCCACTGCACATGCAAACCCGTCATCTTACGGTTGCCCTAGGGGCGCGGCGGCCGGTGCACCGCATCTGAACGAACGCAACCGCCTCGTGTGCGAAAACTGCTTTGCGACCGTCCCGCCCGGCACGGCGTTCTGCACCGAGTGCGGCGAGGCGATGCAGCTCAACGACGACGGCACGCAGAACGTTTCGATGTCGATCGCCAACAAGCCGTCGATCGCGATGGGTGCCGACGGCACGACGCCCGCCTCGTGGATGGAAGTGCCCAACCGCGCGTACCTCTCGACAACGTCGTTCATTGACCCCAAGAAGATGACGGAGAAGAACGCCGAAGCGCGCTCGATCCGCTTCATGGACGCGGGCGACGGCAAGCAGCAGCCAGGCGGCCCTAACTTTTACGAGCCGTCGTTCCGGTCGTTTGCGATGAGCACGGTCTCGCTGGCGGGGCGCGCGGCCGAGCCGGTCCAGACGCCCAACATCCGCAAGTACAAGATGTCAGGCGGCGGCTTCTTCCACGTCGCGTACTTCCTCTCGGCGATCACGGGCATTGTGTGGCTCGCGTTCCTCATCACGTTCTACCCGCGCGAGAGCCCGTGCAGCAACACGATGCCGCACCTCGACTGCTCGACGATCGAGGCCAGCGTCGTCAAGGCGAATGGGTGCTACCCGAGTACGAACCCGCAGAGCAAGAACGTGCTCACCGACCAAGCGTACTGCATCAAGGACACGCCGGGCGGTGTGTGGTTTTGCTACTGCCTCTTTATCTTCTCCGAGTACCTTAACTTCTTCCTCGGCCTCCTCTTCAACTTTTCCATGTGGCGCCCCGTGCGCCGCGGTGCGCGCTACCTCAACGACTTCAAGCCCGCGCTCCCGAAGGAGCAGTGGCCCAGCGTCGACGTCTTCTTGTGTCATTACTCCGAGCCGGTCGTCGACTCGATGCAAACGCTCAAGAACTGCCTCGCGATGCAGTACCCGCCCGAGCTCCTCCACGTATGGCTTTGCGACGACGGGTACACACGCTCGGTCTGGGACGCCAACAACCACTTCAAGGTGACCGTCAACACCAAGAACATTGCCAACTGCGGTGATTTGCGCGGCGACGTTGCGCGCATGATGCACGAACGCGTCGTCGGCCCCGTCACGAGCGACGAGCAGCTCAAGGCGTGGCGCCGTCAGCACTCATCGGTGCGCGAGTTGCGCAAGGAAGGCAACAAGGGCATCAACCGGCGTGACTGCGCGGTTGGCTCGTTGAGTGACGACTACGACTACCGTGACCGAGGCATTCCCCGCGTGACGTTTGTCGGTCGCATGAAGCCCGAAGAGCACCACGCCAAGGCCGGTAACATCAACAACATCCTCTTCAACGAAGGCGCGGACGGCAAGTACATCCTCATCCTCGATAACGACATGAAGCCGCACCCCAAGTTCCTCCTCGCCGTGCTGCCCTTCTTCTTCTCGGAAGGGGAGGCGGTGGACGGCTCGGGACGGCAATACTCGGACGATATCTCGTGGAACCAAGTCGCGTACGTCCAGACGCCGCAGTACTTCGAAGACACGCCGCAGATTACCGAGATGGGCGACCCGTGCGGCCACAAGAACACCATTTTCTTCGACGCTGTGCAGTGCGGTCGTGACGGCTTTGACTCGGCGGCGTTTGCTGGTACCAACGCTGTCTTCCGTCGCCAAGCATTCGACTCGATCGGCGGTATTCAGTATGGTACGCAGACGGAAGATGCGTTCACGGGCAACATCCTCCACACGGCGGGCTGGGACTCGGTCTACTTCCGCAAGGACTTCGAAGGCGAGCCCAAAGACCGCATCCGCCTCTGCGAAGGTGCGATTCCCGAGACGGTCGCGACGTCCCTCGGTCAACGCAAGCGTTGGGCAATGGGCGCCGTCCAGATTTTGCTCATGAAAGGTGACTCCGAGGTCGACCCGGACTGGCGCCCGCCCCGCGTGCCGGCGCCGGACCCGAAGCCGAGCCTCAATTTTCCGCGCAAGATGTTCTTCTACGACTCGGTGTTTTACCCGTTCGGGTCGATCCCCGCGCTCTGCTACGTGACGATTGCGATCTACTACTTGGTGACGGGCGACGCGCCGATCTACACGCAGGGCAACTTGCTTCTCTACACGTTCCTCCCCGTCATGCTGGCGCGCTGGATGCTCAACTTGCTCGCCAACCGCAGCGTCGACTCGAACGACGTGTGGCGCGCGCAGCAGACGTGGTTCTCCTACTCGTTCATTACGATGCTCGCGATCCTCGAAGCGGTGCGCTGGCGCCTCACGGGCGTCATTTCGGCGTGGGCCAACACGGGCGCGGGGCAAAAGACGTCGTGGACCGAGATTCCCAACGTCATGATGTACTTTACGCTCATCGTCGCCGAGGTCGTCGCGCTCATTCGCTTCTTCCAGTACGAGAACGCGACGAGTCCGTGGAACTACGTCTCGGCCATGTTCTTTGGCTTTTGGGTCATGTCCAACTTGTACCCGATGGTCAAGATGAGCATCTCCGAGTACGCGGGCTGGGACCACACGTCGGCGACGTTCACGGCCAACATCTTTGGCTCTCTCCTCCTCATCGGCGTCGTCGTCTTTGTGCAGTACTGGCAAATGTACTTTGAGGTCAACTTGATGACGGCCAACGGCCAATCGGCGACGACGAGCGGGTAGAACGATCTCTTCCTTTTTGCATACAATACGACAACCACCGATCAATATACACCCAATGATATTAGTCAAATGGTGCTAGAATTTATCGTGATGGCAAATGGACGGCTGCTGTGCTTCTGAAACCGTCCAGCGATACATCGGCGTCACGAGCGAACATGGGCGACGGAAGACCGCGGCAGTTTCTCAGCAGACAAGCTGGCCGTCACCACTAGTAGCTCGCTTGTGAGAAGCGACGCTGGCATTCGAGCCGCAAAGGCGATGCTTTCATTCCTCCAAGAGGCGAACGCACCCATGCCGCCTCCGATGAGACGACATAAGGGAGGTGTCTACGTCGAAATGTCCATAATATTCTAGTGTTATGAGCGATATATGTGCGAATTTATGATTTGATATATATTCTTTTTGTGTGTTGGGTCATTGCAGCGCTGGAGGCCGCACGTTCGCACGTCAAAAACAAATGTTTTGTTCTCGGAACACTCTGGGAAGCCATCTTGAAGCAGTATCCAGCAATACGTGGTCGCGGTGATGCTTTTTTGTCTTCGATCGGCCGCAACGGCTTGTTTTCCCGCAGTAGCCCACTGCCAGCACCTCATGAGCGCACTCTTGCTCCGGATTGTGCTGCTCACCGACAACGAGCTTGCGCGGCTCGTGTCGCGGCCGGCATCGAGTCGCCTCCTCCGCTTTGCCGCTAATCAGCCATTGGCATCGCAGTGCGGTCGGTTGCACACAATGTCGAAGCGATTGGGCCATCGTGGCGACCGTGTCATCTGCGCACTGTCGTGCCTCTGCTGGATACTAGTACTATGCAAGGCATATCTAGACTGTTTGAACTATAGTTTCGAAGCTGTCGCGATGATACTGTAGCTACCGTAGTCCATACATACTAGCATCCTCCCACTGGCTGCGTAGAACTATTGGTACGAATCGACAGCTATCTCTTGGGCATACGTGGATGACGAGAGGCAATAAAAACCACGGCGCGCTGTCTTTCGGACTACCCATATGGTATAGTCCTACACACAGATTGCCTAGCACGGCGCAGAGGCCTTTCCCAATCGGACGTCGTCCAATCGGAATCACTCTGTGCGGTGCCGGGATCGAACCCAGTACCTTTTGAAGGGTAAACCAGTGCAAGCGCCACGACTCTGCCTGCACCGAATCCTCCTTCCAACACCAACGTGTACCTTCAACGAGTAGCTTATTTAGTTGTCGAATGAGATCATGAGGTGGTAGCCTCGATCGGCTTGTTTCTGAGCGCATGACGCAGCGACGTCGACTGGTGCCTTGCTCTCACCGCCGAAGCTCACTCTTTCTCAAGGTGCTGCTTGCGATGCGCTTCGTTAGCTTCTTCGCGCTTCTCCTCGTCTCGACGACCGTCGCTGCGCTCAACATCTCGGACGACGAGCGACATGAGCTCTCGCGCGACTTGATGCTCTGGCAACAAAAGTTTGGTGACGATGACCACGTGCGCGCGGCCATGAAGCTCGTGCGAGGGACCTTGACGACCGACGACCTCCTCCGACGCTTGAAGGCGACCAAGGACAAGCTGCCAGCGCTTCATGCGACCAACCCGTACGCCACCTTTAGCCACTTGACCAAGTTTGCACTGCTCACGGACAACGAGTTTGCGCGGTTCGTGTCGGGCTCTGCATCGGCATCGGTCGTCCCGCCATTGCCTGCTGCACCGGCATCGACCCACCGCTCAAATCGCAGTGCAGATGTTGGCGGCGCCATGGACGCCTACTCGGTCGACTGGACTACGAGGTCGATTTGCGTGCCGCCCGTCAAGTTCAAAGGCAACTGCGGTAGCAACTGGGCAATCGTGGCGGCGGCGGCCGTCTCGTCCACGCACTGCCTCACGACGGGCGACGCCATCAACCTCTCGGCGCAACAGGTCTTGAGCTGCTCGTACCCGAGCGGCACAGACGGCTGCAAAGGCGCTGGCTTTGCGCAGCATGCGATGCGGTGGCTCGTGTCGCAACCGAGCGCCTTGTGCAGCGAGTCGGCGATCCCGTACACGTCGGGCGAGACGGGGTCGGCTGCGTTTTGCAGCGACAACGCCAAGTGCGCCGGGACAATTTCGCTCCAGGCCGGTCCCATCGTGACCATGCGCGGCGAAGACGCGCTCGCGAAACAGCTCGAGTTGCAGCCCGTCGTTGCGTACGTCACGACGCTCAACAGCGTGTGGAAGTCGTAC